TCGAATTGCAGAAAATAACTACCTGGTCTAAGTGTTGAGACCAGATGGTGTTTGCATTCCAAAAGATCCATTTCCTTTACCTTCAGATATGCCCGTATCTTCATGCGAAAAAAATAAAAAATATATATAAATAATACTGACTAAATTTTGTAAAATAATACCAACACACTTCACACCTGTCTGTGAGCCAACAGGTGTGAATAAATGTATTTCTCCTTTTTGATATAGCTGCATAAGCTCACCAAATTCTTTTTGAGCTACTTCGAGTCTTTCTGAAAAATCATTCAAAAACACAACAAAGAAAATAAAATATGTAAAGTTTCAAACTGTAAAAAATATACTTCGATCAAATGTAATAAATTCATGATCTATAGAATACCTTGACGTTTGTCTTCTACTGTAGTTTCCCCAGGTTGCATGCCTTTCTCGATATCAGCAATTCCAGCTTCATTCAATTGTGCACCAACTTCGAGGAGCATTGGAGTATTATCTGGAAGGTTTTTCTTAACTCTACCTTCATTTAATTCAGCATCATCAGAGAATTTTTGAGTTGTGTCAATTGAAGCACAACTAGTTTCAACTTCCACTGCATATTCATAAAGAGGGGGAATAGATCAACTAGTTTTTCTGTATATATAACATAGTAAAAATTTATACCTATAGTGAATATTTCACTACAGGACATTATCAAAAAGATCAGTTAAAACTTCAATCTCTAAGAAGGCTGAAGTTCGACAGTTACAAAAACAAAAACTTCAGCTCTAGAGATGAAGTTCGACAGCTACAAAAAAAAATCTTCAGCTGAAGTTTTGTTTCATGTTTTGTGTTTTTTTGTTCTATATTTTTATGAACTATTATAAACTTCACACTTTATACCTGTAGTAACAATTTCCTGCGTATCACCACCTAAAATTTCCTTGCAAATAGCTAGTGCTCCATCAAACAAATTGCCCTGTCCAATATCGCTTTCCAAAGAAGAACTCGATGCATGTTTTTCAGTACCAACAACTTGATCATCTGCACCTTGTTTTTGAACATGTTCATCGCATTCACCAGCCGCTTCCTTATGTGTAGCATTATCATCTACAACTTTACGCGATGGATCATGAGCAACATGTTCTTCAACTTGATTATCTGCACATTGCTTGCTTCCAACATTCTCAGTTGCTAACTGTTCTTCATCATTTACATCTCTGCTCAATATATCAGCACGGGAACGTTCCTCTTCAACTTGTTTCTGAACATGTTGATCGCCTTCAAAAGACGCTTCCTCACGTGTAGCATTTACATCTGCGACTTTATATGATGCATTAATATCCGATGGAGGTTCTTAACAGTCAATCACCCTATCATATTCTCGATGGTTACTCAAATCATAATTGCCATCGTCCATTTCATTTGATTTGTTGACAATCTTAAACAATTGTTCAAACTTCTCATCGAAATATTCCTAGAAAAAAAATTACTAACAATGATTAATCTGAATAACATCAGCACAAATAAAAAGACTTCTCTATAAATTAGCTTACCTTCACTTTTACAAAAACCGCATCAATAATAGCAGATAGCTCATCCTTTTTAAACTTATCGAAAACTTCGTTCACGATCGTGCTTCTTTCTTTTTCTGCATGCCTTTGAACCTCCGTCGTTAACCTCTAGAATAGATAAACAACAAAAATTCAGATATAGAAGAAAACTTCAGCTCAAAAACATGTTGTACTTTTACAAAAATAAAACCAAAAAACTTTAGATCAAAACTTACAGAACAAATCGTCTCAAGTAATTCATTGTCATCAAAGTCAGATGTAGAACGGGTAGAACGACTCTGGGTACGAGATGATTCGCCAATAAAAGGAATTCGATTTGGTTCTTTTGATCGACTCCGACTACGTGGTGATTCACCAATGATAGGAATTCGATTCGCTTCTTTTGATCTACTCAGAGTACGTGGTGATTCACCAGTTGAAGGAACTGCATTAACTACCTTTGAACGAATTAAAGACATTGAATTCAATTCCTCTTCTGTAGGAATTATATCCAATACCCTAAAGTCGCGATATCTCTGTTTAATACCAAAAAGTATATTATGAGGAGAAAAAAACTAATACATCAACATATTAACACAAAGACAAAAAAAAAGTAACTTACTTCATGAGTACTGAACATATAATAAAATTCAGTAAATTTAGGCTCTCCCACATATACATAATGTAACATCCTGGGAACCTGAGGGGTATCAAGGTACTCATCCTCTCTTATATACCTCTCCCGAACATCTGGGAAGCGCTCATAGAACCAAGCACATAACGGATATGGAAATCCACCAAGTTTATACTCAGTTGTATGTAATTTGTTCTGCTTGTCCAATGCATGTTTCAGTGAATAAATGAGCTTCTCATAAGCCACATTACCCCAAGGATATTCAGCACAAACCTTATCATCTTCAACAATAGATGCATACTCCTCCATCACACATGACTCGGTATTTTCCCCAAACAAAATAGACTCTACAATAAGAATTTCCATAAGCTTAACAACATCATCATCACTCTCGCATACATGTACGTGATTCACAACATTCTTTGTAATTTCATTGCGAGTCATAAAATTTCGAATATCCTTCAAAGTCACACCCTTGGACTTACCAAAATACCGCTTCAGAATATTGGTCTCTCGATTAATTGGTTTTTCAACATTATGTGTTGTGATCCGCAAACCACACATAATGTGAAAGTCTTCAAGGGTGAAGGAAACATCATGACCAAAAATCTTGAAACTAATGGATTCTCGATCATTGGTGAATATTCGAGAAAAACACAGACAATGAACCAACTTCATGCTGCATTGGAAATTCTCCATAGCCATAATGTATTGAAATGTACCATTAGTAAGCTTATCATGTTGTGTAGGAGTCAAGAAAGTTGCAATTAATTTCTTCAAATCATGGTTCCCCTTCCAGTAACCCTTACAGTTAAACCAATCTCCAAACTCAAAATATATTTGCCCTGGTCTTGTAGGTGGAGGAGCAGGGACATAAGGACCTGGGGATATTATAGGTTGTCTAGGTGCTTTAGGTGCTTTGCCTACTTTAGCTGCATTAGGATATTTAGGTGCTTTGGGAGCCATCTGTTCAAAAAAAGTAAAAGTTACAAAAAATAACATCAGGACATTATTAAAAAGATCAGTTAAAACTTCAATACCTAAGAAGGCTGAAGTTCGACAGTTATAAAACAAAAACTTCAGCTCTAGAGCTGAAGTTCACCAGTAACAAACACAAAAACATCAGCTCCTTAAGCTGGACTTCACCAGTTACAAACACAAAACATTCAGCAAAAAAACATGTTGTAGTTTTGACAAAAAACAAATAATACTTCAGCTCTTAAATAGTATCATATATTTAACTCTCAAATTTTTTAAATACTCGTTCAAAAAACATAAATATAGAATTTTTATCAACAACATAAACACTCGTTCAAAAAACCTAAAAACACAATCGTAAAAGTAAAATTAATGCATGACTATCAAAACCAAAACCAGAAATTAAATCGTAATATAAAACCCAGAAAGTTAATGCAATGTACCTGTGATTAAATCATAATGTGGGAACAATGACGACTAGCAGTTGAAATCAAAACAACAACGAAAACCGTTTGATTTCAGAGAAGAAAAAAATCAAAAAATGCGAATAATAGGAGTGAGAGACAGAGACAGTAGAGGACTAGCGTATACTTGGAGAGAAAGTAGTCTTTTAATAAAGAAGGGCAAAATAGTCTTTTCAAATGGCTTTTAACAAAAAAATGGGCACGGGTGCAAACAGAAAGACAAAGCGGCTACAGGTTAAAACGGGGTGTCCAAATAGCAATTTTTACATATTTATTGTACCTAAATTATTTATGAATACTATTGAGAAGTTATTTTTCTTAATTTGCGTACCAAACATTGAAAAATAAATTAAGATTGCTACTTGATTTTCTTGAAAAACATTTTCCGTTATACCAAGAACACCCAAAAAGTATCAGTCGAGAGACCTCTGGATAGGTAGCAGCAAAGTAGGAAAAGACCATAATGCTCAAACAAAAATTAAGACATCCAATGTAGTAAGGCGTTATAAACCTCATAGAGTGCAGATTTTAGTATTTAACAAAGAGAGTATTTTATTCGTCTACTTTAATCTTGCTAGCGAGTAAATCATGTACGTCCCTGGTCAGGCTCACCTGCAATTTCTGGGCCTAGGTCTGTCATATAAATCTTTGGGCTCGTCTTGGACTCCCAAATTTGGACCTCTAAACCCTGGGCCAAACTTTCTTTCCCCGTTACGGGGATTTGCATCTATACTTGTTTTTTGGGTCACGTTTTAACTTGTACCCGCTTTGTAAAAAAAATTGCAAGCGTACCCACTTTTTCACGTAACTTCAGTATAAGAGACTGAAGTAGCAAAGTCAATCACGCAAAACTTCAGCATTCTAGTAGACGGGCCTGAAGTAGCAAAAGTTGTGCTGAAGTTTTTTTTGTCCTGGATAAGATGCTGAAGTTATTTAGTTCATTTGTAAAAACTTCAGCACTAAAATAGCTGAAGTTTTTTTGTCCTGAATTCATTAGTTTTATCATAAAGTTTTTTCAAAAACTTTAGCAGAAGATGCTGAAGTTATTTAGTTCATTTGTAAAAACTTCAGCACTAAAATAGCTGAAGTTTTTTTGTCCTGAATTCATTAGTTTTATCATAAAGTTTTTTCAAAAACTTTAGCAGAAGATGCTGAAGTTATTTAGTTCATTTGTAAAAACTTCAGCACTAAAATAGCTGAAGTTTTTTTGTCCTGAATTCATTAGTTTTATCATAAAGTTTTTTCAAAAACTTTAGCAGAAGATGCTGAAGTTATTTAGTTCATTTGTAAAAACTTCAGCACTAAAATAGCTGCAGTTTTTTAGTTCATTTGTAAAAGCTTCAGCACTATATAAGCTGAAATTTTTTGTCCTGGGTAAGTGTTCTTTTTATAAGTAAGATGTCTTCTTCCAGCAGTTACTCCAACCCTCCATGCGCTGCCTGCAAATTCTTGAGAAGAAAATGCTTGCCAAGTTGCATTTTTGCTCCTTATTTCCCTCCAGAGGAGCCAATAAAGTTCACAATCGTACACAAAGTATTTGGTGCCAGTAACATAAGTAAGCTCCTGAATGAAATCTAACCACATCAGAGAGAAGATGCCTATGGCTGTGTTGGAGAAATTTCAGTTCTTCAAAAGCAAGTTATTCGTCTCCAAAAAGAACTCGATGCCACAAATGCTGACTTAATGCGATACGCCAGTTATGAATCAGGAGGAGGAACAGGTACACTAATTGGTCAAACATATGGAATGGTGGTAGTATTAGAGAATTAATCATAGTGCCTTTCAGTTGTTAATAGAAGAAGAAGAAAACGGAGAAAGAGAAAGGGGCTGAAGTTGTTTAAAAACTGGGTACAAGTTAAAACTTTTAAAAAAAATGAGTATAGGTTAAATGGGGGCGATCAAATAGGACGCCCCGTGCAATTTTTATTCATTATGTGGTTCAAATGGGTTCCTGCTCCAAGGTCCAAAATGGAATGGAATAAACCAAGCAGGAAGTGGAATTGGGTAAGCTGGGTGCAGGGAATCCATTTGAGTTTAAATGGGTGCTTTCCAAATTGAAACCAACCCACTGGAATCAAAGCCCAAATAGCTTCTGCAGATACCTCTCTCTCTACTTGCTCACCACTGGCTAACACTCCGTTTGGATTATTGTTTCCCGTCGTCTCATAATGTATTGTATTATATCGTTTTATGAATACAATGTTTGGATAGATTGTATTATTTTTTATTGTTAAATAATATTTTGCTATTCGGTTTGACTGTATCGTACTGTACTGTAATTGATAAGTTTACTAAAATACCCTCGATTATTTAAATATTAAATTTATCAAAAATTATGTTTAAAAATAATTTAAAACACAAGAAGTCAAAACACCTTAAGAAAGCAGAACAAAGGAGTGAGACAAAAGAAGGCAAAACAAAGGAGCACATCTAGTTAGAATTGAGTTAAAAGCAAATTAGGAGAAAAAATAAAAAAGAAGGCGGCAAAACACCTTTAACGTTGGCGACAAAAGTTCGGGAAAAAAACAAATTAGTTTATAGGTTGGAGATTTGGAGTTAAAATAGAAAAAGATTTAAAAGATAAAATAAAATTGTGGAGTAATAAGTTAGGACATAATTGGAAAGAAAAATAGGAAACAATCCCACCACACCAAATCGATTGTTTCAAAAAGGAGGACTTTTCATTGTTCCGGAACAATGAATTTAACAATACAATATAATCAATTTTAATGCAACAATCAAAACAAACATTATTTTGGAATAACAATACAATACGCTGCAACGAGAACAACCATCCAAACAAGCTGTAAGACTGCCATGAAAAGGACCAAAATTAAAGCCATAGCTGTATCACCTTTTGCCATTTGAATATTTCAGTGTGATCTCACACAATCCACCTCCTTATATACTGCTTTTCTTTGCTAAATTGTGGTTAAGTTTTATTACGCAAAGGTTTCGTGGGATTTTCTATCAGAAGGAAACGATACTGGTTTTTCTTTTCTTAAAGCCTTGTACTAGTAGTGTAAATGAATAGATACATAGAAGCATCTCTCTTCACGCGTTTACACTTAAAATATAATAACCTAACCATCTGTTAAAAACATTTTTCGCAACTTTTGGCTAAAATTATAATAACTTAGGAGTTCATGGGATGTGCTGTAGGCTTTAATTAAAAAAAATGTCATTTTTCTATGAACTTAAGTATGGTTCAGACAATTCTACAGACTTTGACATGAGATTTTGCTCGTATTCGGTTTCATATTGAGATTTTCTTAAGCATCAAATTTGAGAGTTACGCATAAATAAATCCATTTAATTAATAAGCACCCTCTTTTGGGAAAATGCTGTAATAAATTGAGATTGAAAATATACCGTCTACAGTTAGCAAAGAAGTAAAATCAAGTAGGTGAAAATCATTATGGGTAGCTGCAGATCATTCTTACCTAACAACCACTCCAACCAACTACCAAAATATATAAGCAGAAGTTAATGAGCAGCTACAGCCAAAAGGTGCTCTAATACGGAAAAGTTATTCAATTCAGTCCGCTCTATTACCTGCTATACCAGGTTAAACTAATATAAATTTTTTTATGTTGTCAGTGTATAAATTGAAGTATTTCTTTTGAAAATGATCTACTACTCCGTTTCTAGATACACATTGCACTATTAGATTGGTCATGGAGGTACGAGGTAGAGTTTGAAGAAAAAGTAACATAATACTTAAAACGGTACTCCCAAGATTGGCACATTTCAATATTTTCTTAATAAAAGTTATCTATAGCCGCACAAATGCTATAACAACTTTTAGACCACAAATTTCAAAAGTTTTACAGTCACACAAATGATATGATTTATTTAAGACCATATATCTCAAAAGTCTTTTCTTCTTTATTAAAGTTTGTGCCAGGAGCGGCCCGACGAGTTCCGTGGCCTAAAGCCAAACTTTATGAGGGGTCTTAATTTTTTTTTTAAATTCTTTATTTATTGGAAGTCTATATTTCTAGTGTTTCTTAGATACAAAGTTATAATAATATTTTATTATTAATAACTCCTAATAAGTCTTTCTTAATTGACAATATATGTTACAATCCATATTTTTGTATGTGAAAGTACGTCGTAAGTCCGTTGATGTAAGCTCGAAAATGAGATCCTCTTGGAAAGTATATAAAGTAATTTAATGGTGTTACATCCCATATTTTTTTTTTCAAGCCTTTGAGAGTTAATATTCAAGAATAAATATTTATAAGGGTACATGTTGTTACACCCCGTACTTCAGATGTTACTATCATTATAGGATTAACTAATATAAACTCAAAAAGGATGAAATCCTTCTACAAGGACAAGAAAGGTTTGCCGAAGTGTTACGCAGGTTAAGATGAATATGAGACTTGTTAATCATAATTTAAATGAGAAGACATGATATGACTATATATGATGTTTGAATATGAAGTATAAAGTTTGAGAAAAATCGGATTTAAGTTGCGGAAAAACCAACTAAGGATTTGCCTTGTAATGAAGGTTTTTTAGTAATATATTTCGTGTGCTATATGAGATCTTTTTGGGACATATTATATATCAAATTGAAGGTCTGGAATGTAATTTCCAACGTTCTTAACCGTTTGTTTATACGACATCCAGATAAAAAGATATAAGCGTTTGAAAAAGGGCCAATGAGAGAGTGGCACGTGACACCTTTTTGACTTTTAGAAAAGGGGATGTTTATCTCTCTGTCTCATCTCTTACTTTGGTTTTCCAGAGAGCTCGACCATATAAACCCCTAAACTCATCCTCAAGTCCTCCATAAGGATTTTCAACGATACTATCATCCGATGCACGAAATCACGAAGCAATAACACAAGAACAATCCCCACGTAAGTATTGCTATATAACCTCTCTTTTTCTTTGTAGTTTGAGTTTTGGAAGGTAGTTTGAAGTTAATAAAAATGCCTAATTTCTGGTTTCAAGATATTAAATATTAAGTAAGGTTGATTAATTCATTTCATAATATTTAGAACTCACGGGACGGTGATCGGAAGCCGTGAGTTCGAGTTATTTGATTTGCAATGGACTGTTTTGTGGGCTGTTTC